ATCCTGCCGCCCCCCTCCCCCCCGCCCTCCCAAGCCTCTGTCCCTGCCCGCCCCTCGGCCTTCCCGCGCTCTGCTCCTCCCAGAGCCGCGCCGGGCCCCAGCGCCCGCTAAAGTTCTCTCCGTGGGGTAGGGGTGTTATAATGCCGCTTTCTCCGTAAACGTCACTGCTGTCCCCGCGCTGCTTCCGGGCACAACAGCGCTGGGGGCGGCTCCTGCCTGCACCGTCTCCGTGCTGCTGCCTCTAATGCGAGGGACGAAGGGGACACTTGTGTATAACAGTAACGACCAGGCTCCTCGTCTAACCACTGAAATATGTACATTATCGCATCCTTAAGTTTGGCTCTCCCTGATGCTTAGAGGGAGTGGCAGGAAAAGACACCAGTAGAGTGCACAAGAGGAAGGCAAGTAATAATTGATGGGCGGGGGAGTTGTGCATCTCCTTATGAAGTAACAGTCATTAATCTTCCCAAGAGGGTCTCCTAAGGAATGGGGATAGTCTTGGCCTGTGGCAGAGAAGGCTCATGGAAGACCAGCTGTGGGAGATTAGTGACTCCTTTTCTTGTGAGAAATAGCCCTTGTGGAGCTACAGGAACATTGGTGTTTAATATGGTGTTTGTTGTGGGGTGGGGAGCTCATTTCCCTCTCCCTTCCCCCCCATGGTACAGGGTTGTCTGTGCATATTTGGTAAAGGTATTACTACCATGCTTCTGAAATGCTAGGCTATAGTTCTTGTAGTTCAAGAACTTTTCTCAATAGAATTCAAATGTTAAAGCTAAGCTCTCCAGTTTGATTTAATCTGTTTTACCTATGCTTTATCTTGCACTTTCAAGAGATGCTTCAAGATGTACACAATATGTGGCAGTGGTTGAATATTTTTGTTGTGTTACTTGCCTGGTAAATAATACTCACCTTTCTTGTTACTGCTGTTGGCAATAGGAAGATCTCTAAATTATCTGAAGAAGAAACTTCTATTAGACTTCCATGGTACCGAATATGATTTTTAGCTATACTGTTCCCTTTGGTAATGTACATGTTTGTAGCAAAATGTGGTGTTATACCGATGCTATGAAGCCTGTATTGGCATAGCCAATGCTGAAGGAGTAGATGCTGAAGGAGTTTTCCTAGAAAGACTTGAGCTATGTTGATAGAACAACTCATCCATTGGCATGGCTGCATCTGTGCTGTGGATTTTGTTGGCACAGAGCTGTGTTGGTCAAGGATGTGGGTTGTTTCCAAACTTTATTGGTTCATGTGCAATCAATTTTAAAATTGTTTGATCACTGACTTCAAAACATCAAGCTTATGTGTACCTATGGGGCTGCGTCTAGACTGGCTTGATTTTGTGGAAATGCTTTTAACAGAAAAGTTTTTCTGTTAAAAGCATTTCCGCAAAACCGCGTCTAGAATGGCACGGGTGCCTTTGTGCAAAAAGTGCTTTTGTGCAAAAGCATCCGTGGCCAGTCTAGATGCGATTTTGTGCAAGAAAGCCCCGATCGCCATTTTCACCATCGGGGCTTTTTTGCACAAAACAGTCCTCCCCTGTCTACACTAGCCCTCTTGCGCAAATACATTTTTTAAAATACATTTGCGCAAGAGGGCTAGTGTAGACAGGGGAGGACTGTTTTGTGCAAAAAAGCCCCGATGGTGAAAATGGCGATCGGGGCTTTCTTGCACAAAATCGCATCTAGACTGGCCACGGATGCTTTTGCACAAAAGCAGCTGCTTTTGCGCAAAGTCTTACCAGTCTAGACTCAGCCATGACAGTTTGGGAAACCCTGAGCTCTTTGACCTTTCCAAATGTTGCATCAAAACTCAAGCTCAGTGCTGTTTTGTATGTCTCTGTTGCAGTGGAAATAGTTTGTCTGAAGATAAACTTTGTTCTCAAACTAAACAAGGTGGAGTGTTTGGAGTTGACTCTTAGGTATGTTAATTGATAAGCATACCGGTAAGTGTGAGGGTCATGAGTTCGAGTCCCACCCACCTCCACCTCGACTCAGCTGGTCAGTGCGAACTTGTGGCCACTGCCCCTCATGGTTATTGTGGGACTGTGTGGCTGCAGTGGGGTTGGACCGCAGGCCCCAAGTTAAAATGGTTAACTGTTTTAAGGCCTTAACTTTTAGACAGCTGTAAATTAAAATACAAGTAGAAAGCTGCAAGGATAGATCCATTGTTGGCTTTATTTTTTCCTGACTTCACAGTCAGCTTGACTCAACTTTGATTTTGCTCTTCTAAAACTAGTGCTTTTTAAAGTCTATAGCACTGTTGCCAACCACAAGGTCAAAATTATCTGAAGATTAAAAAAATATTAATTTTGAGTTCATTTTGTTCTGGTTTCTGAGCCTTTAGGGTATGCTTGGATGGTGTTCTCAAGCTTTTCTTCATAACCAGGAAGCCTGGAAGATTTTTTTTTTTTTTAATGAAAGCTGAGATTCTGACATAATCACATGAATTCAGGAGCTGGAACTTTTCTTTAGATCTCCCCAGATTCGTGGTCAGGTTGTAAGAGTTGGTAACACAAAGGCAGCATGTAAGACTCCCAAATGTCTCATGCTAGCGCTGCTTGCTCGATCTGACCTGTGATAAAAACGTTTGAGAAACTGAGGCACAGATATAATCTATAGATTAAAAATAATCCTAGTTTAGCTAATGCTAGTAAAGAGGTCCTCAGAATACAGGTCTTGTTTACATGAGAAATTTGCACAGGTTTAATTAAAGGTTGGATTTTAAAACTAGTTTAGTGGAACCTATGCAAAACGCTGTGAGGGCACTCTTAAACCAAAATAAATCTCGGTGCTGGTATTTGCATTGGTTAAACCACATTGGTTTAAAAATCTGTATTCATTAAACTGGTTAAACTTTGTGGTATAGATAAAGCCTACAGCAGAGTGCTGAATAATTGGCAAATTCTTTGTTAGTGGGGGAATAAACACAGTTGCGTGATTTCCCCACTCTCACATGTCCAAAAACCTGCTGGTGACTCAGAAAAGCAGGGTGTGAAGATGTCTCAGTAGCAAAGGGCAGTACAACTTATAGAAATTAACAAGGTGGGGTGAATGCAAAATAAGCATCTAATATGTCTTCCATTTTACCATTGCCAATACAGGCAATCCCCGGGTTACGTACAAGATAGGGACTGTAGGTTTGTTCTAAAGTTGAATTTGTACATAAGTTGGAGCTGGTACATATTGTACCCCAGGTGTCCCCAATTCAGCCGCTGCTGAAACAGACCAGCGGCTGACTACAGGAAGCCGGAGGCAGAGCTGCTTTGCCCTGCGGGATGCGGTGCTGCAGGGACCAACCCGGCAGTGCCCCAGCTGCTCTGTCCCAGGCGTCCAGATTCAGCCGCTGTTGAAA